CCCCCCCCCCCCCCCCCCCCGTCTCCTCTCTTCATTAATATCTCCAAACCAATAAGATGCTCTGCTGATAGCAGCCCTGGATGGCAGCGTATTCAGTCCCCTACCAATAAATTGCTGTTTATTGAGCTGACACACTGCTTCCTTTAGTGTGCGTGTTGGTCTCCTGAGAGCTTTCATCAGTACCACAGAGGGAGGATGGGTTAGTCTGGATCACCCTACAGACAGGCGATGCACAGACCGGTACCTCCAGTTAAAAATCCTCTAGCTATTGTGAAACCTAAACATGTTAAAGTGATTTTAGTTCAGCAATAGAGAGGGAGAGATTGAAATTTGGTTTTGATCATTTTCATTGAAGGTGTAAGGATGTGGGCATAAGGGGAACTCTTTTTTTAGGAAGGTGGTTTGGCTGAAAACACGACCCAAATTAAAAATTTTAATAAACAAATGGTGAAAGAAAGTGGAGCGAGATGGATGCAGGCGGGTAACGATCTGTACCCAGCCCGGCTCAGGCAGTGCTGCTAATGACAGCGGCCATGGTTAGTTTGACTAAAACCACACACAGATTGAGGAAGAAGGAGAAACTGGGCTTTCCTGCTGCGGATTACATGAAAATCAGTAAAATTGTCTTTTTAAAGCAGCAGTTTCTGATCAACTCGAACTGAACTCTTCACAGTATTCGTAGTCATTTATAACATTATTAGGTTAAAACCCGCGTACAATAGTCGCTTCCATAGAGTTGAAGGTAATTTATTGTAGACAATTTATAAACAAGTTCAGAGAGGATGTATAAAAGTGTCCTCATAATTTAAAATGTCGGAGCTTATGGTAATATGTTTATAAAATACACAGCGTAATGAATAGTTGTGGAGTATTGTTTGGTTTGTAGTCAAGAGATTATATTTTAAAGCATTTCAGCTAAAACCAAAGACATATGGATAATGTACAGATCAATCTTTTCATGCACATGAAAGAGATGCAGAATAGTTCAAAATAATTGTTTTAATAAATGATATGTTGAACAGGACTAAATGTGGCAGGTTCAATGTTCTTTAACTACTTCCTGACACCTTGTAAACAAACAACAAAAAAAGTTCCTTTCCTCCTCTTCTTCCTTTTGAAGGTATACCGTATTTTCCGCCGTACACATCGCACTGCCCCATAAGTCAGTCAGTACAAATATGTCTAATAAAGTGGAAAAATCCATAAATATGTCGCTTTGCCGTATACGTCGCATCTATTATACGTCACCGCTGACGGGTCGCATTTGTTACGCGTCAGCGGTGACAACCCAGAAATGTGGGCTGGTGTTGTGCCAAAAAATCGATTGCGGGAGCATGCACAGGAGGACTTTAACAAGAATTTAACAAGATTAACACTTAAAAACAATTATTTGTTCGCTCAAAATTATAGCAAAGTTGTGTCTCAGTTGAACTTTCACTTAATAAATGCACTTTAATGGTGAAATTAGTTGTATTTTGCCAGGGCGGTGCAGCTGGTTTGACTTTGCTTCAAGTGGCGAGCAGAACGAAGGTGGGGGGATTATGGCAAGACGATTGTGTCATTAAAAGCTGGTGAAGATTCTCAGTCATCCAGGACTTGGTAAATTCAAAAAAGTTCAAGACAAAACAATAAAGTATAATAAATAAAGTTCAGTTGTTTTTGTATTGAATTTTTGAATTTGTCATTATAGCCACTTTTACCTTTTACATGATACAACAGCATGCCTTACTGCTACTACTACTCTTCTGCCATCTAGTGCCTGAAAATGGTACTGTTCTTTTTTTCCCAGTCAGATTGAATGAAAACGGTCATAGGGCAGCCAAAATTGTTTATAAATATGGGAATAAATCCATAAATACGTCACTTTGGCTTATAAGTTGCAGGGCATGTAAATTATGCAAAAAACATGACTTATAGGCTGAAAAATACGGTAATAAAGTGTTTTCCTCTATTTTAATCTGTTGATGCTTCATGTCAACACCGTGCGTATTGCGCCTGTGAAATGACAGGTGGACATTAACAGAGACAGCTCAGGGACACACAAACAGGCGGAGATGGATCAGGTCCCCAGCTGCTGTTAAACGAGGCTTTATGAAGCATTAGTCAACACTCCAATCCCGACCTTCATGCAGAGCGTCATACTGGACCACGACGAGCGCTGCAGGCTTCAGAAACATCAGCCCTGACTCTAAAACGTGCACCCTGGAGTTCTGTAGTACAAGAAAATAACTAAAGTTATGGAGAAAATATGTATTTTTTTCTGCCGTACATTAGTTTTTGATGAATGCTTTTTGTTAGCAATGCTTTTATATCCAGAGTTAATATATTTTGTTTTATTTTGTTCTGTAGACACAAACGGTAGCTGCACTTGGCTACTAATGTCAGTTTTTTCATCAGTTCGCTCAACACGTTTTGCACGACAATAATTAAATAAAAATATAGCAAGTAATCTGCTTTTTGGAAATTCTGGCAAGATTACTACAAGAACTTTGTCGAAGATCTATGAGCAAATTATTTTTAAACACTGCATATACTGTATGCACCATCATCTGAACACTTATCGTAAATAGCAAAATAAGTTGTTAACTGTGAGCCAACAGCTATAGGCTAATAAAGGCTAATGACTGATAACTTAATAATGATTTTTTTTTTGGTTAAAAAAATAGCAAAATTGATATGTGTTTGATAAAAGTTCGCTAAACAGGCTAATTAAATTTGAAAAGAGACCTAAAGTAAAGCCAGTATGCATAATTAGCAGGTACAAATCAATAAAAGTGTATTTTATTAAAAAATACGTAAAATCTTAGCAAAAAGCTGTGTTTAAAAATAAACAAATGCTCATATTAGCTAGCTAACAGTTGGTTAATCATAAACACAATCTGTTCAATTGTTTAATTGCTAAAAATTTCAGACAAAACTGAAAAACAAATGTCTAAAAGTTAACCAGTTGGATCTTTATAAAGGTAATGAGACACGGTTAAAGATTTTCAGGTCCACCTCATCCCATAAATCCACCAGAGCTGCCACTAACAGAGATCAGATACAACTCTCTGGAAAAAATGCAATTGCAAAAAATTATAAATAACTGTATTATAATTTTTGTATTAGCTGTGCTCAGCTGTTTTTAACAGCTGTGTTTACATAATTGTACTTATGATATAGACCAGTCAAATTATCATGGGCGGTTGAAATAATTGATAAAAGTTTTTCCATTTTAGGAGAAAAGTTATTAGAAAACCAAATCTAAACAGTCAAATGCATTTATGAAATAAGTTAATTTATGTTAAACCTCTTCTGAACTAGTTGCTTTAACCTTCCCTTTTAAGCTTTAAATTTAAATATAAAATATCCAACATACAGTCTCATAGCTTGTCCATCTTGTGTGCTGTTCTGTGGTTTGTATGACATTTAGTTTTCTTGTCTCTTCCTGTTCTGCCTTCAGCTTTCTAAA